GGGAACTTCCGTAAGGTTATCAGCTGATTTTTCAGCAGAAACTCTACAGGCCAGGAGGGAGTGGCACGATGTGTTTAAAGTGATGAAAGGGGAAAATCTACAACCAAGAACACTCTATCCAGCAAGGCTCTCATTCCAATTTGATGGAGAAATCAAAAGCTTCACAGATAAACAAAAGCTAAAAGAATTCAGCATCCACCAAACCAGCTTTCCAACAAATGTTAAAAGAACTTCTCTAGTCATCAAACCATAAGAAAGAGAACAAAAAGAAGAAAGAGAAAAAAAAATGACCTACAAAAGATTGCTTTGGCAGTTCGGGGTCTTTTATGGTTCCATATAAATTTTGGAATTGTTTGTTCTAGTTCTGTGAAAAATGTTATGAGTACTTTGGCAGGGTTTGCCTTGGATGTGTGGATTGCTTTGGGTAGTGTGGCCATTTTGATAATGTTGATTCTTCCAATCCAAGAGCACAGGATATCTTTCCATTTCTTTGTATCATTTTCAGTTTCCTTCATCAATGTTTTACAGTTTTCAGAGTATAGGTAAGCTCCTTGTTAAGTTTATTTCTAGGTATTTTGCTCTTTTTGATGCAATGGAAATGTTTATGCCAGTTATAAAATTCCGGTTTTTGAAGTGGAAAAAAAAGTGATTGAAGGGCTGCAAATGACAAAATATCTTTCTTTCTTATGGGTGAGTTGTGTTCCATTACATATATATGTACTTCATCTCCATTATCCATTCATCTATTTATGTATGCTTAAGATGCTTCCATATCTTGGCAATTATAAATAATGTTGCTGTTAATGGTCGGGTGTATGTATCTCTTTGAATTAATTCTTATTTTTTGGTTGGGTTTATTCCTTTGATAACTATGTAAGTTTAGAAAGCTAAAGCTCTAAACGTTCTTAGAAACAATGAACAGTACATGTAAGTAAAATTTTAAAATATGTGCAGTATATTGCGTATATGTATTTACATGTAATACATTGTACATGTGCAGTCAAACTGCAACAATTCTACCTAATAAAACTGAAAAATAAAAAAAATTCTGAAAGATAGAAATAAGAGACAGTGATAAAGAAACAGAAAAATGCAGAGAGCCAAGAGACAAGAAGAGAGACACAGAGAAAAAGAGGGACTATGGCAGGAGACAGAGACGTCTCAAGGGGAAAGGGATTCTCAGAGGAGGCAATGAAGAAATAAGGAGAAACAGACACAGAGATTTCCAGGGAGAAAGCAGTGAGATAAAGGGGAGGAGCCTTTTCTAGGGAGATGGTAACTGACAGAGGCAGGGAGAAGGATTTAGAGATTAGTTAGAGAAGGAGAGAGATACAGCATATATAATAAAGGTAGATACAATACAGATAGATACATATTTATCCATGTATATAATATGTGGGTTACAAATTCAGATGCTTCCAGAGACTCGATGGGTAAATAGAAGTGGGTGGAGGGGACTTTGCAGGGAAACAGCAGCCAGTGTGGTGAACTGCAGTGGCTCGAGAACCCATTTCTTGTCTGAAAATGGGCAGCCTTCCTTGGTTCGGTCACCGGTGGTCTCTATTTTAGAACTGTGGACCCAGCAGTGCCAGTTTGGAATTTTTCAAGTGAATCCAGTAACTTGACTTTAATGTAATATCTCTCAGGTTCTCCATGTTGGCAGCAACAAGCCGAATAAATGAATTGTTGGGGTTTCTTTCAAGACAATTTGAAAACCAACATGGCTGTGGGGAGCCAAATTTGATGAATGGGTTGCTGATTTGTGACTCTGAGAGACGTAGCCCTTATTTTAATCGTAAGATGCATATACTCACATTTCAACACCTCTGAAATCAGAATGTGTCTCCCAGTGAACGGTGCCAGCGAGGATTGATGGGAACTTTTTTTTTCTTTTTCTCATTCTTAGCGGGGTTGTAAAATAATGACTCATGGTACAATTTATAGCATTTAGATTTGATGAACTACGTGGAGACAGATGATAGACAGAACTTAAGAGATGAAAAAGCAGAGACAGAAAGAGATGGGGTTCAGACTCATGGCATGAAACATGAGAGTGTGTGTGGTGGGCAAGGCTGTACCTTTGGGACTGGACACGGCCCCCCAGCCTGAGATGAGGCACTGGGTGCCCGGGGAGACGCAGGTTTGGCTGAGGTTGAGGGGCTGCACAGCAGGTCCCAGACGTGCCTTCCTGGGCAGACGGATCAGCATGATGTCATCTTTGTGGTCTTGGGCGCTGAGGTCCTGGTTGAACCCAGGGTGAGGGAAGAAGTCTGTGGCCCGGAACAGCTGCTCCGAACCCTCCCATTGCCAGAGGTGGTGCTCCCCGAGGCGGACCCACAGATACCTGTTGGACAGGTCTCAGAGGTCAAGGTGGGAGAATGTGTGGTGTCTTCTCGGTCCCAGTCCTCTTTTTCCTATCACCCAGGATGCTGTGTGACTCTCCAAAAGCCACACACCCTCTCTGGGCCCCTATCATCTATGTGTGATCCAGGGTGCTGTGTGATTTTAAGCAACGCTCACACCTTCTCTGGGTCCCTGCTTCCCACTCCATCCCTTTGTCTGCCTCTACCTCTGTAGCTCTCTCTCTCTTGAAAGCTCACACCCCTTCCTAGCCCCATACCAAGTGAGCCACCTTTCTTTCTGCCCCACCTGGAGCCTTAGTGGTGACCTGGGTCTCCTGGAACCATGGAGGCATGTAGAGGCTCCACCTACCACCCAACAACAGCTCCACCCCACTGCCCTCACAGGTCTGGTGGCTTCTGTGGGGAGTGGATCTGTGTGTGTGAATTTATGTATGGCGAGGGCAGGATATGGAAAATCCCCAAGGTGGGGTCGTCTGTGGCCTCAGGCTTTTCCCATCTGCCATATCCCTCACCCCTCAGTGAATTTCTTCCTGAGGTCCTGCCTCAAGCCCTCTCCTGGCAGCCCCAGTCCGCTTGTTCTGCTCTTGGTCCATGCCCTGAACAGCTGGGGACCCTCAGGGGGCCTACATGTCCACCCCCAGCCTCTGACCTCTGACTTTAGGAACTAGGTTAACGACTGAGAACTCAGGGCTTGAGGAGTATGAGGTGTTATTTCTATCTCTGTCCCTCTCTGTCAACTTGTTGTCTTGGTTCTGCGTCTGGGAAACCAGCCCCAACTTGTCCTTGCCCCCTGAGTCCCTTGTACCTCCATAGCTCTGCTTCTCCCATTCTTTCTCTTTGGGGCTGAAATCTGTACACTGTCTTCCTAGCCTGATGTACAGGCCTGAGCTAAAAGAGGCTCAATTACAGAGCAATGCATGATGGGAAACTCCCACACAGCATCCTGTACAGCCCCTGTGCTTCATCCCTAGAGGGGAAAACATCAGAACAGGATGTATGGCCCCTTTCCTGATAATATAAAAAGGATTTCTGCTTCAGGTAGATTCTAGATTCTGGAATTTTAAGATTCTAACACCTTAGGAATCCACTATTTTAGAATTCTATGAGGCTCAAGTTCTAGAATCTCATGAAGTCAAGATTCTAATGTTCTAGATTTCTCTGCATCAAAAAATCTAGGATTTTTAAATTATCTGAACTAAATCTAGGATATAAAGAACCAGAATACTAATAGTCTGGGAAAATAAGACTAGAATTTCATCATTCTAGAGTTCTATAAATCTTTGATTTTAGAATTGTAAGAACCTAAGATTCAAATAGCTTCAAATTTTGGGAATTTAGGAATTTTGACTGACAGCATTCTGGGGTATTAAACCCACCTAGTCATGTATGACTATAAACTTCTGGAATGCTCGTTGTTCAAGATTCTAGAATTCTACAAGTCACAGTATTCTAGAACATTGTGATTCAGAGAGTCCAGAACTATGTAATTCTGTACTCAGTGGAATATTCTGTTCCAGGCTGGAATATTCTGGACCTAAGATTCTAGGACTGTGCTATGCAATACAACTATTGAGCACCTGAAATATGGCTGGTCCAAACTGAGCTGTGTCATGCTCCTAAAATACATGTCTGGTTTCGAAGGCTGTAGAAAAGGGACTAAACCATGTCATCCAGAAATATTCAAAAATTGCTTAACGAGGAAATAATATTTTGAATATGTCAAGTTAAATCTATTATTAAAATTAATTATACTCATTGCTTTTTTACCTTTTAATGTGTTTTCTACTAGAAAAGTTAAACTTTCCCCACGTGATTGGGGCTGTATTTTCATTGGACAGCACGGCTCTAGACTTCTTTGATTCTCCCAGTCTCTGAATCCAGGATTCTAGAATTCAGTGAAGCTAATGTAAAACCTCCTGGATTCAAGATTTTAGAAGTCTACCACTCTGGCTTTTTCTGGGTCAGAGTCCAGGCTCCTAAGGGTCAAAGTTTCAAAATTTCCACTCTTAGAGCCAGATTATTTAGAAGGCTAGAATTTGGAGAGTCGACTCTTTGTAATTGTAAGAGCTGAACTCTGGGGAACAGAAATGGAGGCAGCCCTTTCTGCCCACTCCCTCCCTCCTCTGCCAGAGTCCCCTTGCCCCGTCACACTTTCCTGATCCCCAACCCCCTCCCCAGAGTGGCCCGCCCAGGTCACTCACGGCTTGCGGCAGTGGGCAGCTGTGAGCAGCCAGCGGTCGCTGATGAGGGTCGCCCCACAGAAGAGGTGGGTGAGGTGGAAGAGCCCAGCCTGCCAGGGCTGTGAGTTGGGGCGGCATTCCTCGGCCCCGATGGCTCGGGTGTCTGCCCAGCTGTGCCCTGGAAGGGTGGGAGGTGTGCAGAAGGGTTAGTGAAGAGCAAGGTAGGGCTGGGGGAGATGCTGGAGTGCCTAGAGGGCAGGAGCAGAAGCCTAGGGGACAAAGGGCCTGGTGGAGGGGCGCCTTGGGGGCCATGGAGGGGCAGTGGCCTGGGATGGATGGCAGGAGCCTCACCTGCCAGGAGAGAAAGCAGAGCACAGACGAATCCCAGCCTCATGACCTCAGGTTTCCTGGGTCCTTGAGTCTGTGCTTCGTGCCCTGACCTTCTTTATGGTAAGCCATGCCATCTTCCTCCTCCCTGGGGCCGCCCCGTGATTAATCTGAGTTGGGAAATGTCCCACAGGGAGGCGGAAGTCCTAGGGCCTTGACTGGGAGCCTTGGGAAGGGAGGAGATACAGGGGGATACCCCCTGTAGAGATGAGCTGGTGGCCTGCAGCATCAGGACTCCACTAAATGGGGGAGGGGCCCTGGGTTGCATAGTCCTCCTGGGGTTCTCCAGACAGGGGAGCCCTCATTCGCCATGACTTCCAGATGCAACATCTGGATACCGGATATTCTGTGGCCTGGAGGAGGAAGATCCCTAAGGTGGGGTCCTAGGGTGGAAGCAAGTTTATCTTGAATGAAGCTGCAGTGAGCTGGGACTGATGCACTGGGCAGGCCGGAAAGTTAAGTAGGAGGACCGCCCAGAAATCAGGCTAGGGGTGGGAGAAAGAACCAGGGCTCAGCGGGAGGAAGGCAGGCAAGCAGGCACAATGGGGTGAGGCAGGGAAGGATGAGAAAGAAACAAACAGAGAGGGAGATAGAGACACAGAAGGACGCAGAGTGAGAAAAAGAAAGAGAAAGAGACAGAAACACAGAGACCACAAAGAAGGCTGTACCTGTGTACACACCCCAACCCTCCCTGCCCTGGGGATTCGGGCCTCTTCCCACAAGGATAAAGGCCTTTTCTGGGAGGTTGGGAACTATGGTCCCAATTAGGTTAATCCAGTCTGGTCTTAACCTACCTCCTTTTTCATGTCCCCACCATCACAAGGATCCAGGTCCCAACCTGCCTAGAACCAAGCATGTTCCCCATTCTCTTAATGCCACCAGATCTTGGCTAAGTCCTGAGAACATGGTCTTGTTTGTTTTGTTTTCCACCTATCTCTTCCCCTCCATTGTCTTTCCCATCATCCCATCCTTCCTGCCTCTCTTCCCATTCCTCCTCCTCACCAGATGGGCAGACCCCGGAGGGCCAAGCCCAGGTCTGACTCATCTCTGTGTCCCTCGCATCACCCAGTTCAGGGGTGGCCTCATGGGAGGCCTCAGGAAATGTTAATTGAATGAGTGAATGTCTTTCTCCATATCCTTCTTGTCCTGGTGAACTTCTACTCAGCCTTCAAGGCCCAACCTGGAGGCTCCCTCCTCTAGGAAGCCTTCTCTGATTTCTCCAGGCAGAGTCCATCTTTTCCTCCCTGGGGGTACTCATAGCCTCTCTTCCATTTTCTGTTGTCATAAGCCAGATTATCAAGCTGGGTCTGGGCTTTCCTTGGAAGTGTAGACCTCATTATGTTGTCGTGCTTTGGAGCAGGGACTCTGAAACTGGCCCATGTGAATCCAAACCTCAACGCTGGTAATTATTACGTGTGTGACCTTGGGCAAGTCACTGGACCACTCTCAGTTGCTCCATCTATTAAGTAGCAATAATAACTGGGGTTGTGGGAGAATTATGTGAACTAACACATATGAAACACAACAGTGGTAGGCATTTAATAAATCTGTCTATCTGTCTCCTACAGAGCCCTGCACTGCCTACATCATAATACACATCACTCGTGACTGCAGTTGCCTTAAAGCCTCTCCAGACGAGGAGGTCCTTGAGATCAGAGACTGAATACCCACTATGTACTGAGTGCTGTACTAACTGCTTTAAATAACATTTTGATGGCTAGCTTTATTGACTGTTTGCTCCATGCCTGCCAATGTGGTCAGCGTGTCATGAATTTTTTTCTCATTTAATTCTCACAAGAGTCTAATCAGCCTCTCTTTCATAGTGGGGATAACTGAGATAGAGGGAGCATTCAGGCATTTTGCTGAAGGTCACACAATGAGTTACAGAAACACATTTCCTTCTCTACCTGGTGAACTCCTACTTATCCTTTAAAACCCCATGTATATGTCCCCTCATCTGAGAAGCCTTCCCTCAGGGCACCCTGTGCCTCCTTCTGCTACAGCACTGATCAGTTTGGTTATTTGTTAATTCAACAACGCGTTGAGTGCCTTCCATGTGTCAGGAATGATACAGGTGCTTAGAAAACCACAGTGAATAAATGAGTCCCTGCCCTCACTGACTGGGTGAAGGGAAGGAGGGGACAGACCCATTATGGAGTAAACAAATAAATGAGATCATTTTTGCTTTAACAAGTCCTGCAGAAGAAATCAACAGAGCAGTGGCTTATTGACCAGGGAAGGGAGTGGGTAACAGAGAGACCCTTTTAGCCAGAGCAATCCTGGAAGACCTCCCAGAGGAGGTGACCTTTGGATGGAGACTTGAGTGACAAGAATGTAAGGCTCGCCTGTCTCCCTGACCTGACTAGCAGCTCCTGAGGGTAAGGCCCAGTCTGAGTCATCACCAGGATCTGGCTTAGGACACTGCTCAATAAACACGTAACGATGTGCTCAAGGGACAGGCAAATTGCCTTTATAAGTGAATCGACTTCTCACCTACTTTGCTTCTGATTCCTGCATGACAAACTCAGCTGATATGCCTGATTGACGTTTCCTGGCTGTGCTAATAGGGGCAGGGGAAGAGTCAGCAGAAGGGAGCTGTGTAGACAGCTCAACCCCTGCGCACCAGCCTTCTGAGGGCTCTGTGAGGACAGGGACCTTGTGGTCACCACTGCATTCCCAGAGCCCAGCACCAGTCCTGCCATACAGCAGGGGCTCCACAGACTGGTGTTTGAAAGGGAAAACAAAACAACCTGTGCTAGGTGGAAATTTTCTATTGTGCCTGTGTTCCACTGATGTTACTGTTCCAAAGTCTGGGCTAAGTGGAGATGCCCAAACTTCTGTTAGATTTGCCTGGCTTCTGTGTATAACAGCGCCCCCAGCATAGGAACATTTACACAGAAACAGTTTCAGGGAGGGGACAAGAATCCTTCCTCCCAACTTCTCAGGGCAAAATCTCAAAGCCAATTTGGGATGGGATGAGGATGGAGTTGGACTTAAGGTCTCTGGGTTTTGGACCAGGGGGATGAGAATGGAGATGCAATGGAGCTGGGACTGTAGTTGGTGGTAGGTGAGAGGATGGAGTTGGAGCTAACAAAGAAACCAAAAAATTTCCCCTAAATTTCCGAGGTCTTCTTTGCATCATCTTAGCAACTAAGATGGGGAGAATTCCTCTAGTCTTAGAGGCTGGAGTGGATGCAAAGTGAGGTCCCTTGAATTCTGGTGGCCTCGGGAAGGCACAGGAGGTACCAGATGACTCAGAGACAGCCCAGCTCCTGCTGGGACAGGAGGAACAGGTGTTGGGTGGACTCAGACATGGGTAACAGTGGCAGGGAAGAAGGAAGTAGTTAAGAGGTTCTTCACAGAACTTGAGAGGAGGGTGGGAAAGATGATTCTCCCATCAGCCCTGAGAGGTGGGGATGGCGATGGTATGGGGTGGGGGCGGGATTGGGGGCTACTCCTGTGCTGTTCCCTCCAGGACACAGAATCACACACATTTGCACCAGGACCTGTTAACATTTAATCAGAGCTCTCCATCCATTGTGTTAATGCTTTACATGACAATTTCCATAACAATCTACACACATCATAGTCTCCTTATAACAATTTTATGAGGTAGGCACTACATCATCTTCATTTTCCAGGTGAGGAGACTGAAGCCCAGAGAGGACACTGGGCTTGGCCAAGGTCACAAAGCAGGAAGCCAAGTTGGAACTGACAACTTCGCTCGAGACTAGTGACTGCAACTTACTTAAGAACAGCACTTTGCTACCACTTTCTGCACCTCCACCTCAATGCCGGCAGAGGACAGCATTGAGCAGGGGGGGCTCAAGGGAAGAGGAGAGATGTTAGCAGGTGTGGATGGGCGGCGGAAGTTTGAGAGGGGCAGGGGAAGACTCCTGCTGACTGCGGAGGAAGCAAGAAGAGGGCAGACGGTGAAGGAGTTGCAGGGCCTCTGGATCAGTTGGAGCGGATGGTTTTCTCTATCCAGGTGGTATATTTGCAGATCTGAGTGTAGACAGCCGGATGCTGAGCAGAGCCACAGGGGTAAATGCCCCATGAAAGGATGCCCTGAAGTGTCCCTTCACAGACCAGTGGGCCACCCGAGTCACTCTGGGGGTGGGAGGGAGGAGAGAGCAAATAAATACACCAGTGGAAGGGCTGCCACTTGGGCGCCTGGGGTAGTAATGGGGAAGAGACGGGGTGGGCAGGGTTGGAGCTAGGCTGGGATAAAGATGAGGGTAGGGTGGGGTTGGGGGTGGGATGGGGTGGGGATGGGGTTGGACTTGGGGTTTGGGGTGTTGGATAAGAGATGAGACTGGAGATGCCATGGAGCTGGGATTATAGTTCATGGTAGGTGTGGGATGGAGATGGATCCAGAGACAGGGAGAGGGTAGGGGTTTAGGAATGGCTTGAGGATGGGAATGTGGCTGAAGGTGGAAGGGGGTTAAGACTGGGGACGAGCTTGGAGGTGGACTTGAGGACAGGGTTGGGCATGAGAAGGTGGACCCAAACAGGTAGAGATGGACATGAGGTTGGAGTTGGGGTGAAAAAGAGGTAGTTTTGGACATGGGGGTGAAATTGGGCTGGAGGTTGGCTCTGGGGTTGGGGAATGTCTGTTTTCCCATAACCTCCCTATCCTTGCTCCCAAGAGTCAGAGACCCTCCCTGGCCAGTCCCTACCTGGCAGGGATCCTGGCCCCGGTCCAGTCCTGCACATATCATGTTGCTGGTGACCACGCCAGGATAGAAGACCTCACACTCTTTCGGGCTCAGGAGAGTGACCCTGGAGCAAGTCAGGCCCCTGTTGTACTTCACTGGTGGGAGAAAACATCAGGTAATCCTGGGGCCCAGCCCCCAAACCTTGAGGACCCAGAAGTTCAGATAACCCAGATTGTTCCCATCCCAGGCCCCAGACTCCCAGCCTCTCCTCCCTCAGGCCCAGGAGACCCAGCACCCAGTCCTCCTTCCGGGAGATACAGGCCTCAGAATCCCCAGTTCTTGCCTCTCCGGGAGGTGGTGGTGCCCCAGCCAGCGACCTGGCATTGGTCTCCGGGCTGGGCACAGCTGTGGGGCAGGCGTAGGGTCTGGATTCGAGGCCCCAGCACCGCGGGCTTGGCCAGCTTCAGCAGCATGAGGTCGTGTTCATCTGTTCGCCTTGGCAGGATAGGGCCCGAGCCCTGGTGGTACTTGGGGTGGATAACAGAATGAGAGGTCCGGCGGAGCTGCTCGCCCTGGAGAAGCAGCAGGTGGTCATCTCCGACTCGAGCCCATAGAGGCCTGGGGAGGGAAGAGCCAGATGGATGCAAAGCCTTCATTGGGACTGGAGCTGCCCCCTGAGCCTCTGGGATGGCGAGTATGGGCAGTGGGGTGGGCACAGACACTTGGATCCTAGCAGTGGAGGGTGCTGGGGGCCGGGAGTCTGGGTCTGAGTGAGGATTGGGTAGAAGAGAAGGGAGCCGGAGATCCAATTCTGAGGGACATAGGGAGGAGTGATCAGGTGTTTGGGTCCCTAAATTCTGCAGGAATTGAAAGCAGAGGGTCTACCTGGGTAAACCTACCCTTTTCTTCCCCTCTCAGTGGGGAATTCATGAGATGAACAATTCCCTTTAGTTCTTAAGTCCTAACCATATGAGACCCTGATTTCTGTCTGCTGCACACAACTATCTACATCTAAATGGAACCCTAGGAGAATCTGCTGGACAGTGGCTCTGGATGGGCCCAGAAACGCTGAGAAAGGCCACACTGCCCCCTCGTGGCCACACCACAATCCCACTTCTCCTCCTACATGAAGCCCTCCCGGACTGACCCCACTTCGAGCTGGCAGTGCCATACAGGCAAATGCCCCAGCCCTTCCCGCCTCCTCCCTGGGGCCTGCCTCCACAGCCCCTCCCTAGCGTTCCCGAGGAGATCTCCCTACTTTTTGTTCCCGCAGTGCGCGGCCGTGAGCACCCAACTCTTATCCACCAGGACGCCCGCGCAGTGAAACGAGAGGCCATTGAAGAGGGACACCTGCCAGGGCTGCGAGCCGTGAGCGCACGGGGCGCCGGAGGCCACAGGGTCCGAGCCCGTGTCGTTTCTGGGGAGCAGCAGAGCCTCCGCGGCTGGAGAAAGAAAGGAGTTGGAGATGTGAGCAGGCAGGGCAGCAGGGCAAGCGCTGACTGCGTTTGGGGTCTGAGTAGGGCCATGGGACGAGGACTGGGGGAGCACAAGCAGAACCCCGGGATGTGTGTGGAAATTGGGGGTCCTGAAGAAAGTGAATAGAAGTGGGAGGAGAAAAGCGATGTGAAAGAGGAAGGAGGCGGGGTTGGAGCGGAGTGGAGTAATGAGACCCGGCAGGCTGGGCCAGGAGGGGCAGGGATAGAACACAGAGCTCGAAGAGATCGGGTACACAAAGAGGCGGGGCAGCAAGGGGGCGTGGCGTAAAAGGGGCGGGGACAGAACGCGGCGCGGAGTCGGTGAAAGTAGGGGCGGAAATAACGCCACCCGCTGCAAGAGGGAGCGAGGGCAAAAACCGGAAGGCAAGGCTTGGGATAAACTAGGGCGGAGTAAGAAAGGGCAGGGAAAGGACGAGGCGAGGAGAAAGGGAAATTCGGATCTTGGAGGAATAAAGGGGGCGGAACCCACAGGGCGGAGCTGGAAGAGGGGCGGGTCTGACTTGGGGCCGGGCCTCTCCGGATCTGTGGGTGTGTCCTGGGGTCCGAAAGGGAGGGGCGTGCGCTGGGAGGCGGGGTGGTAAGAGCACACTCTCGCATCACCCTGGGTCCCCGGCACCTCCCGCCAAGCCCTGTCCCCCGCCTCACCCGAGAACTGTGCCATCAGTAGCGGCAGCAGCAGCTTCGCCAGGGCCCGAGCGCCAGGGGCGGTGGAGAGGTGGATGTGCGGGGATCTCATGGCCAGGACCTAGGCTGGGGTGGGGTGGGGTGGGGTGGGGTGGGGTGGTGTGGGCAGGGGGCGGCTCAGAACATTTGCCTATTCAGAGTCCCCCACCCTGCCGCGCCCGTCCGCCCATCCTGGGCCACCGCAGCCCGCGGGGACCCGTTTAACCTGCGGCCGACAAACGCAGGAGTGGGCGGATGGGCGATTTGGGCCTGAACAGCAGTAATGGGCGCAGTTACCCTAGTGATGCCCCTCTGGCATCCTCCTCCCCTCCCTACGCCCGAGGGGATCGCTCTCCCGGCCGGGGCTGTCCCTGCTGCCAGCCTCTCAGGGCTTGAGGTTTCGCCATCCTTCATAGCTGGGGTGGGGGTTCAAGGCCCGGAGGCGCTTCTCGTATATAAGGAAACTGAGGCTCAAACAAGTCTCCTGCCCGCGACCCGAGGGTCCTCACATATGCTCTCGCGATTCGCCCAACCCAAGGTGAGATGCATCCCGCTCACCTGGAGTCGTGGAGGGGAAGAAGGGAGGAGACCCAGAAGTGCCTCTGCCCTGCCCTGTGGGCCGCCGGAGTTCTCTGCCAGGGGACCCCTGGCCAGGCCTTCCCTTTTAATCCCAAAGAGCCCGGAAACTTCCCCACCCTCCCCTCCAGGGATTCACCCCCTCCCTTTACCTCTCCCTAATTATGCAGTGGGTGAGGCTGGCATCCAACCTGGGCCCCAGATTCCTGCTCTGGGAGGGGCCCAGGAATACAGGCTTCTCTCAGTGTCTGAAATACCCTTCTAGGAGTTGGATTTCATAGGGATTCCCCAGGTCCCCTGTTTCAAGAAGTCTTCCTAGATGAGGAGAGAGGGTGCCACAACCCCCGGGAACTCTGGGTAGTCCTGAAGACAGGTGAAGGTAATTGAGAAGGGGGGAGAAACAGAGAAATGCATACCTAGAGTGATGCAGTGAGAAAAGCCAGAGTGCTGAGGCAGAGCTAAGACAGACTGAAGGAAAGAGCAGGAGCAAGAGACAGACATACACAAACAAGGAAAAGAAAACACAGAGAGGAAGGAGGCAGATGCAGCCCCCGAGGGATGCTCAGTGCTTGAGCCCACACACACAGCCAGAGCAGTGTCCGTGTGTGTCCCAGGGACCAGCCAATGTGTGTTGGAGGAGGTTCTGCATCATGGCCATGTGTGGTCGCTTCATACCCTCCCTGCCATCTGCATGTCTCCAGGTGACACACAGGCCTGTGAATCACTGAAGGCCAAAAGCCACAAGAGGCATCAACATCATTTCTACCAACTTCCTCATTTCTGGTGAAGAATGGGAGACTCAGACAGGGCAGTGACTCACAGTTGGTCACACAGCAGGTGCACCTAACAACCAGGAGGCCCCAGTTTCAGCTTTGGGCTCTTGCCTCTCATGACAGCTACCTCTGCTGCAAGGGGAGCAGGACATAAGGAAAGATCCTGCAAGAAGTGAGTTAACTCCAGAGGTGGTCCAGCTCAGCACCATCCAATCGAACTTTCTGCCATGATGGAAGCGTTTGACGTGTGCAAGCCAACATGGCAGCCACCAGGCACACATGGATATAGAGCTTTTGATATGTGGTAAATGCAACTGAAGAATTACATTTCCAATTTTAGATAATTTTCATTTAAATAGACATATGTGGCTACTGTACTAACCTGCACACGTCTTGATGAACTACCTATCATAGAGGTTGGAAACAAAACACTAATAGCTCCCTTTTCTTAGGTCCTAACTATGGACAGGTCTACCATACTGTCGCGTGTTATCGTACTGCTGCATGCATGATTTTACAGATAAGGAAACTGAGTCTTGATGAAGGCAGTATTGCTTGGTAGTTAAGAAATCATCTTGCATCAGATTTCTTTCTATTCTACTTACTGGCTGTGTGACCAAGAGCAGGTGAATTTGTTTCTCTGTGTCTGTTTCCCCATCTGCAAAATGGGTATAATAATAATACCAACCACACAGGGTTTTGTGAAGATTAAGTTAGTTGATAATTTAAAAGCCCTTGGACCAGGGTCTGGCACATAGTAAGCATTTGAAAGATTCATTTATTCAGCAAATAATTATTGAAACCTTGGTATATGCCAGGATCTGTGTTTGGGGCTGGAGACATGCCAGTGAACCAAATGGCTATTATCACTCTCAGAGTCACAAGTTAGTATGCGGCAAGATTTGAACCCAGGTGTCCGACCTCCAGACCCCAAATTGAGGATTACGCTACAGCATCTCTCAAAGTCAAGAAGCCCCCCAAACAGTCAATAAAGGAGTCCTGGCTCAGGCTTTATTATTAACAGAATGAGCAGGAACCACAGCCCAAGGTACGGATTAAGGGTATTGAGCTGTGATGCGCTGGTCCTGGCTAATTATTCTCCATCGTCTTCTGGATCCAGTCCACGTATTTGCAGACCTTTGTGTAAACACCGGGCTTTCTGGTGACAGCACATGGATCCTGGCCCCAGGAGATGATGCCTTGAAGAGACCCGTTACAGACCAGAGGACCCCCAGAATCACCCTGGGGATGGGGAGAGAGAGAACCAGTTAGAGAGGAGGGGAGGCCACGGAAGAGGGGAAAGGGTTGGGCATGGTGTTAGGAAGGAGGTGGGGATGGTGTTGGGGGTAGGGTGGAGATTGACGATGGGTTGGCCATGAGATTGGGGATGAGTTAGAGTTATGAGAGGGAACAAAGATGGGGTTAGGGTTGAAAATGGATTTGGGGATAGTTGGGGTTGGAAATAGAGGTGGGAATGGGAATGGAATTGGGGATCATGTTTAGGTTAGAAATGCGAACTGGGGGTGGAGATGGATTTGGGGGTGCAAGGGGATGTGGGCTTGAGGTTGGGGATGAGATTGTTGATGTAGATGAAGGCACAATTGAGGTTGGGAGTGGAACCCATGTGGTTGGAGACCCAGGCCCTGCCCTCTGACCTGGCAAGAGTCCTTGCCCTCTTGTTGGACACTGGCACAGACCATGGTATCTGTGATGTTGCCAGGGTAGGCGTTCTCACACTTCTTGTGATCAATGATGGTGATGTTAGCACATCGCAAGTTATGGGGCACGTGCACTGTGAAACGACATGAGAGGGTATGGACAGTGAGAACCCTCCAGTCCCCTTCCTTGCACTCCAAGGCTTGCTCTGAACCCAGCACCTGGGTTTTCTGAACCCAGGGACCTTGCTCTGAATCCATTTCCTGTCCTTCATGCTTGCAATCAACTCATCTCTCTGCTTGTAGCAACAGCAACAGTAATGCTATCAAGTAAAATTGTTTATGCCAGTTGCTTTATAAACCTTATCTCTAATCCAGTCCTAGTGGGTGGATGTGATTATTCTCATTTTATAGAGGAGAAAACCAAGGTCCAGAGAGGTGAAGCCACTTGCCTGAGGACCTATAACTAGCAGGTTTTGGACCTGACATTGCACATCATGTCTGTCTGAATCCAAGACCCAAACTTTTACCTCCACCCTCCTCAGCCCTTACTTTTCCACACTTCCTTCCAACATATCCCACAATTGACACCCCTAGGTAGCCTCCTCTTGTATCACTATGAATCTCATCTTTGAAGGTTCTTCTGGTTCCCCTTGTCCTTCCACAATCGTAACCACCCTCCCCCCATCACGTTCCCCTCTGGAGTCCCTACACTGGGGGCTGGACGTGGTGCCCCAGCCGGAAATGAGGCAGTGGGTGCCAGCAGTGACACAGTGTGATGACAGGGTGAGGGGTCGCACGGCCCAGGTGATGAAGGCTGGTGCCGCCATCTTCACCAGCATGATGTCATTGCGGTGGTCTTTGTTGGGGAGACTGTAGTTGAAGCCCGGGTGGGGGAAGGACTCAGTGGCTGTCCGGGTCTGCTCATAGCCGTCCTGCCGCTGGAGGTTGTGTTCTCCCAGGTGGACTACGTATCGGCTGGGGTGGGAGAAACGGTGGTCAGAGATGGAAAGGGAAGGCGAGACAGGAGATGGAGAGAGACGTGAGGGGAAGGAGAGAGATGAGTGCACCTAATAGAATGAAGAAACATAGCTCCTCTTCCAACCTCATCCCCACCGCCCACCAAAACCCTCTTCTAAACCATATCACCAGCCCAGCATCTAACCCCATTCCCAACACCATCCTAGTTCCAACATCATTCATTCTCCCATCTTCAGTCCCAACCCAATCCATATCATCAATGCTAAAGCCACTCGTGCCCATCTCTGATATCTGACACCAGTCTCCTCACCCCATCCTCATTCTCCCCAGCCCCAAGCCCCTCTGCAGCCATCTCTCCATCTCCAGCCCCTCCCAGCTCCGCCCCAGCCCCCGCACCCACGGCTTGCGGCAGTGGGCTGCTGTCAGGAGCCATCTGGGGGCGATGAGGGTTGCCCCACACAGCAGCCGTGTCTTCTGGAACAGAGCCACTTGCCAGGGCTGGGAATGAGGAGGACACTCGTAGCCCTTGATGATCCTGGTCTCTCCCCCTGCGTGCCCTAGAAAGAGTGGGGGCGAAAGAGGGGGCTCAAGCATGAGAGGACTCCCAGAAAGTGGGGGAGTGGGACAGAGGGTGGGTGGGCTGGACCTTAACCTAATGTCCCGCTGGGATGCACTCTATGGATGGACCAGGTGTGAAATGATTGAAGTCTTTCCACAGTGGTTGGTCAGTAGACACTGTCCTGAGCCCTTTGAGTGTCTTCCACACCATCCCAGCTGCCCTGGCCCCTCCTCTGGGACCCTCTTTGACCTCTCCCCATTGTAGCTCTAAAAGGATTACACTTTGGTACAGCAAAGAGCACCCAGGACCTCATTATGGCTCATAGATGCATTCACATGCCCTATGGGTTATGATATACATATATTTTTTCATTTTATTTTTAAGCTTTTTGGGGGTGATAATTGGGTTTATTTATTTATTTATTTATTTAATGGTGGTACTGGGGATTGAACCCAGGACTTTGAGCATGTTACGCACACAGTCTACCACTGAGCTATACCCTCCCCTGCATTCTATATTTTTAATATCAGCCCCATCAGTGTCCAGATAGAGGGCTGGGGATCCTAGAGATTCCAGAGGGAGGCCCTTGCCCATCCCCATCCCCCACCATACCTGTCACCAGAGCGAGAATGATTAATTGCAGAATCATCATGACCTGGAACGAGGGGGAAGGCAGGCCCCAGGTACTTCTGGGAACAAGGAGGGACATGGGGCCAAGTCACTTTCCGGGGAGACAGAGGGCTGGCTCCTGCCCGCTCCATCTCCCTTGCCTGCTCCGGCTCCCCACAGGAGAAGCAGCGGGGTTTGAGGAATCCCCTGGTTCTCACAGCACCCCAACCTCCACACTTTGAAAATAAATCTTTGGTACTGAGGGTGGCCTTGCAAGGGCTTAATCCCAATTAGAAACTTCCCGGAGCCAAGTTGCTGGGAGGGCTTTGCCCAGGGCAAACGATGAGCCTGCCCTGTTTAAGTCAACCACTGGACTTCAGAGGTGCATTTTGGAGAATGTTTTCCTTCTTGCTACCTGAGATGTGGCCAGGCCCAGCATCTTAGGGTGAGAAGATAAAGGGAACCAGGCTTCGTCAGTAACCATTCCAGGGTGATATGGGCCATTTGAGGGCGGCCTGGAGTATGGTAGGGGCTCCACTCTGGACAGCATCCTGGCCCCCACTCTGCTGAACCCCTGCCCCTTCAAAGAACAGCACAATAGAGCCAGGCGGGGCTGGTCACCGGAGAGGCTAATGTCCTTAAATGCCCTGGCCAGCAGGGGTGGGGGTGAAGGGCTGGACTCAGTAACCGAAGCTGGTGTCAGAGGTCACTGAGGCGGGGGCAGCCTGCTGGAGACACAGATCAAGGCAGAGAGACCCAGTTCTCACCCCCAGCCCCAAGCACAGAGCAGAGGAAGAAATGAAGGCCTGACGCATTGGGTAGGCCAGTGCCCGAGGGAGAGGGGCCTTCCCTTCCCTCCCAGACTCACGGGCTCTGGGGCTGGGGCTCGGGGGCCCGGCAGTGGTGGCAGATGCGGCAGGCTGGGTCTCGGAGAGGAGCGGGAGGCACCAGAAAGGCGAGCAGGCAGGGGGTGGCCCCGGGAGGCCCAGGATGACTGGGCCTCCCAGCCCTGCCTTATCGCCCTGGGGCGGGGTGTTGGAGGCCCTCCCCAGGCCAGCCCTGGGTTCTGAGGTGCTGCCCACCTGCCGCTGTCATGACCACCCCCAGCCCCTTTTCTCCCAGCTTCTCTCAGTTTCTCCACACCTCTGTGTCCACCTGTCTGTCTGTCTGCATCCTCGCCAGTCTCTCTGTATCTCTGTGGTTCCCTGCCTTCCTATAATGCTCTGTGTGTATGTGTGTGTGTGTGTGCGTGATTTTTGTTTCTGTTTCTATGTATCTCTGTGCCTTTCTCCCTGTTTTTGTTGAACTCTGTTTTTCTCTCCCAGGTTCTCTCTCAGTATCTCCTCTAGTTTTTTATATTTTTCTTTGTGTCTCCCTGTCTCGGCCTTCCTCCACTCCTCTTTCTCTTTCTCCCTCCACCTCTGTCTCTAAACCCTTCCCCATCCATCTCATCGCCCAGTCTCTCTGTGTCTCCTGTCCCTGCCCCTCCCTCCCTCCCCACAGCCCCAGCTCCGGTGGGCCCGTGGCCTCCTCTGGGCCCCCTCCCTTCTCCATTTTTAAGGGGGTGGGGGACGGGGCGTCACACAGGTGGGGCTGCTGCCTGGCGGAGGGGCAGGCAGGAGGGTGAGGGAGGCAGGTTGGGGCCTGTGAAAGTCAGGGCCCAGGAGAGGGAAGTCTTCCCTCTGCAAGTGCCCCAACGCCCAGGGCTCCTCTGAGGCTTCACTTCTCTGCCCACGCCCACCCTTCTGTCCGACCCCTTCTTCCCAACTTCTAGGCTGCCAGGAACCCCGGGATCCTCAGAATCCAGTCGTGACACTTACTTGCTGTGTGACCTAGGTCCGATGACTTCCCGAATCTGAGCCACCTCAAATTCCTCGTCTGCAAAACTCAAGTGCCGATCCCTGTTTCTCCCGGCTTGGTTGCTATCAGTCAGATCTCCCTCCGTCTTGCCCTCCTCTCCCCTAACCAGGTGCGGAGCAAGACTACGGGGTAGATCTGGGTTCTGACAGCAGTCAGCCCTGGCCCCAAAGCCGGCACTGCCTCTTCCTACCGCAGTGACGTGGGATGAGGGACTCCACCCGGTGAGGCTCGGTTTCTTCATCTGTGAGATGGGGGTGACAGCCCTGCCTCAGGGGGTTGGGATGAGGACTCCAGGAGAGCCAAGTTCAGCAGGCACCCAGCAAATGCTCCCACAGCTGTCACGGTCACCCCGCACCCTCTCCCACCTCCAATTCCCCTTCCATTCACCTGGGAGGGGAAATCCTCTTTCCACCTCCTGGAGAGGCTGTGAAGACAAAGTACCTAAGAGGTGGGCAGAACTGTTCTAAGACCTAGGCTGTGTCCTCTTGCCTTCCGAGCCTGCACCCCACCCTCCATCACTGCAAACATATTAAAACAAACGTGTATTCCACATGAAATATATGTGTGTCCTCAATTACAGGCGAATCAAGTTGCAACTGGCTAGTTGGAAGAATGTAAGGTTTTACATTCTTGTGAATTTTGATCTTGCAGTTTTCAGGGGGCATTTTGGAGCCAGTAATTCCCTCTCCCCAACCCCCTCCCCTCTTCAGGTCCTTCAGGGCCTTTAAAAAGCTTATAAGCTCTAGGCTGTGTTCCTGTTGTGCCTGATGGAGGAAAATGTCCCTTACTTTTACTGTTAACTTTCTCTACTCCATTCCCGTGTGGCCGCTGCCAGGAAAACCCTCACCCTCTCTGATATCTATTTCTACACCAGTGAGTAGGGTGACTGACGAGCCCTCTCTCCAATCCCAACCAGCATGGGGATATCAAAGAGACACAGCCCCTCCTCCATTTATATTTATTTCAGATCGTCACACACTTCTTCCTCCCCCAACCATGGATCTTAGAAGGGCCGGCTGGAGTTGGAGTTCCGGGAAGATCCCCAGTCTACAAAGAGTGGGAACTGGGGTTAATGATGGAAGAAGTGCTGGTGCTGACGGTCAGAGTGAACCCCAAGCTGAGGCATGAAGGTGGAGGGAGCAGGTCAGTTGTTCCTCATGACCATCCGGATCCAGTCCACATATTTGCAAACTTTGGTGTAGACTCCTGGGACGCCTTCTTGCCCACAAGGCCCCACGGATCCCCAGGACACCAGACCCTGAAGGACTCCTCCGCATACCAGGGGGCCCCCAGAGTCACCCTGGAAGACAGAAGGAGAAAGAATATTGCATGAATATGGGAGAAATACCGTTTCAGTTTTCCTCTCCCTCTGCACACCATCCTAGCCCTCCCAAACCATTCCTGAGCCTTGAGGACTGGGGCTCCAAGCCTCATCACCAGACCAAAAACAAAAAACAAATAAACAAACAAACAAACAAAAACAAAACCAGGTTCCCAGAGGACAACAGCAATGACTGGCCAATAGAGAGGAACACACTGTTTCTAACAGCCAATCCCAGGGGAGGAGGGCGGGACTCCATGCATGGTAGAAGAGTCCCTCAAGGACAATGGCTGGAGCCCTGACCAATGAGGGAAGAGCGCAGAGGCACCAATGCCCAATCCCAGTGAAGGAGGGCGGAACTCCTTTAGAGTTCTTTCCAGGACAATGGCTGCGGCCATGGCCAGTAGGGAGGGGCAATCCTCTCTTTCTGGAGGACCTGAGAGGAAAAGGTAGCCGAATTACAGGGTGTGAGAGTCCTCCAGACCCCTTTCCTATTCCATCCTGGAATCTCTCACCCTCACCCGGGCCAGCATCAACAGGAGGATGGTGTGGGGAAGAACTGGAGAGACAGCTGGTTACCTGCCTGAGCTCCAAATGCTGGCTAACTCTTTGCCCTCCCTCATCTTCTCTGTCTCTTTCTCCCCCTCTTTTTGTGCCCCACCCATCTTTCCTTCTCGGTTTCCGCCCTCCCTCTGACTTCCATTCCCTGGCTCTCCCTCCCACATTCTGTGCCTCTCTTTTCATCCTGACCTCATCTCTCTCCCCATCCCCTTTCCCTGACGTGCCCTCCCTACCCCTCAATTCTCTCTCCCCTATTTCCTGTCCTGGGTGTTGCCTGCAGTCGCTCACCTGGCAGGCATCCTGCCCAGCGATGCCACCAGCACACACCATGTTGTCTGTGATTCTCCCTGGGAACACTGCCCAACAGGTGGCATTGGAGACAATGGAGAGGTTGAGGCATTGGAGCCGGTCTGGGAATGGATCTGAGGATGGAAGATGGATACTGCTGGATCCCCCAAAGCTTCCCTCATCTCCCCCAAAGTTTTGGGGCCACATCCTTCTTCTCAAGAAGCCCAATCCAAGTCCATAACCCACCCCTTCCTACGGCCTCCTCTACAATCCTCAAACCTCTAAATTTCAGATTTATGACTTGATTGCATGGTGACTATTCACTCCAGTTCATTGACCCAGTCCCCCCTGATCTTTAACCTATGACTTTGGTACTATAACTCAAGATCCTCCTGGTCCTTCCAACCTCAGATATAATGAATCTAGACCTGACTTTCTCCTTCAATCCTAGCTTCTGTGACCTTTCACCTTCAGTCTTATTACCTTTTGATCTCAACTTGGCCTCATGCCTTCTGTCTCTTGGCCCCATATTCCTTGTCTTCACCTTAACCTCCAACCTCAGTTCTACATCTTCTAAACCACTGATCCCTACTCCAAAGTGACCTCTGATCCTAGTTTATTTGACCCCAGACTCCATGACTTCTAACTGCTGGCTCCACATACCGAACCCTATGGTTTCCAATCCCAGACTAGTGGTCCCTGGTAGAATCCTCAGACTGTGGCCAACATCTGGATCCCATGACCTCAACTCTACAATAACTAACACCAGAGTCCCTGACCCATGACCCCAAGATCCTATTTACATATGCCTTTTGCTCCAGTCTGATGACCCTTAACATCACTCTGACCTCTAACCACATCCCTGATCCATGACTTCTGACTCCATGCCCAACCACGTAACCACTTTCACTCCCAAGACCCCTGATGACCCATGAGCTCAGAGCCCAAAGCATGATCCTGATTTGTGACCCTTTACCCATCCATCTGCTGAGCTAGCATAACTCCTGACCTCTCACCCTACCCTCCAAACTTTTGCCCATCCTGACCTCTGACCCCAGGCCCCACTTACTCGATGGTCGGTTGGTGGTGCCCCAACCCGAGATGTGGCACCCAGTGCCAGCCGGGGCACAGGTGGTGGGCAGGGGTAGGGGCTGGACGCTGCGGGTCAAAAGAACAGGGGTACCCAGTCGCAGAAGCCGGAGGTCATGGTCATGGCTGTGCAGGGCTCCCTGGTAGCCGGGGTGTGTCACGGAGAAGCCAGTGCGCCGGATCTGTTCCGTCCAGTCCAGCTTGCTGAGGCTGTGTTCCCCGAGACGCACCCAGTACCTGCTGAAATTCATGGCAGCTCAGTGGGTGACAGGTGTGCCATCCCACGGGCTCCCAGACCCCTTGTCTCTCTCTGCTGTTCTGCATTTTGATGGCTGTCCTCTCCCTCACTCCTTCCCTTGCTCTCAGTCTCTCTCTGCCTCTTCCTGACTCTTGGTCTCTATTTCCATTGCCAGCTTTCCATTTCTAGTGTTCTTTGCATTTCTTCTCTCCATGCCACTGCAACTGTGTCGCTTTCTGATTCTCTTAGCTGGTGAGGCCCACGGGAGCAGGGCCATCTGCTAGTCCTGTTCACTGCCCTGATCCTACCGCTTAGGAGACGATCTGAGCCATCAACATTGTCAACTAAGTCAACAGGGGAATAATGAGTGGGCTCTCTCTATACTGCTTGTGTTTCTCCCTGTCCCCAAATCTCTCTGCCCCTCAGGGGGTAGAGAGTATAGCTCAGTGGTAA